CGACGACTATGACGATGACTACAAGGGATACGGCTACAAGAGCTACGGCGGAGACTGCGATGACTACGGAAAGGGTCGCCACGACAAGGACGACTACAGCTACGGCAAGGCCTACTACGGCAAGGATGACTACAGCTACGGCAAGGCCTACTACGGCAAAGACTACTACGGCAAGGACGACTACAGCTACGGCAAGGACGTCTATGGATACGACGGATACAAGTACGGCTCCAGCTACTACCCGGACTACTACTCGTCGTACGGATACAGCTACTACCCGGACTACTACTCGTCCTACGGCGGCGGCGGTGACTTTGGCTACGGCTATGGTTACAACTACCCCGGCAACTTCGGCTATGCTAGCTACGGCTATGGCTACCCTGGTTACCCTGGTTACCCTGGCTACCCTGGCTACGGCTACGGCTATGAGTCCGCGACGACGGACGGTGCTGAGGCTGGCCAGAAGGAGTCCGCCACGGCGCCTGCTACCGCTACGGACGTTGCGTCCAACAAGTCGGCGGAGAAGGAGGACAAGACGCCGCCCAAGGAGAAGGAGACCACCAAGTCCGGCGCCACGGACAAGGCCAAGGGCAAGTAAGTGGAGTGAAGTGAAGTGAAGTGGAGAAGGCCGCTCGCTGGCGATGATGAGAAGTAGACGAGGGGCGTTCGTTGGTCATGGAGCAGCTAGCCCACGGAACCTGTAGTTCTGTAGAGTAACATGCGTGTAGTAGCGTCGATAAAAAAACTGGCGGTGGTAGCAATACGACGTCAATGGTTGTCAACTTTCTCGCTGTACTCAGTTTGCTCGTCCGATGCGCTAAACCGTTTCGAACTCGAATGGTGACTTAGTAGAACATGTGGAGACGTTTGGCGTTTGGCACGCCCGATTTGGATGACCCTTACTTAAGTATACCGAACACGCTTCGCTTTGCTACCGGTAGTCTCATTTGACACTCGATAGCCTTTGCAGCCGTACCAAAACGCAGCTTGGATTTTTGTTTTTGTTTTTTGTTTTTGTTTTTCGGGTTGTCGGTGCATGGCCGACCGATGGCGCTGCCTACTGAGAAGCAGCTATCAACACTCTCAACAATGAAACGACCACTAACTTTGGCCTGGATGGACATGATGCTGGCCCTATTGGAGAAGCGCTACGGCCCAGACGCCTCGCCGGCAGTGTACTGGCATTGCTTGTTGGCCGGATAGTGACAGCTTCAGCTAGATTGATGGTACGTCTGCATCGTAGGCGCAAGAGACTAGACTAGTTGACTAGTTACGGAGTGGGCGACGGCTGTGGATGCGGCCTCAAACCCGAGTGCCCCAAGCTCTCTCATCTTCCAATTCGCCTTCTCCGCCACACTCGGCCACCAACCAACCCCAAATCAACCCACCGAATCGCACGTTCATCTCTGACATGCACTCCAAGATCGTTGCCCTGTTCAGCCTGTGTGCCGCTGCCTCCATCCTGCAGGCGGCTGACGCTGGCGCTTCTCCTGTGGGCGTCTCGCCGCGCCGCCACCTCGGCTCCAGGGAGGACTACGGACACCACCCGCGCCACCACGACCATGACCATGACCACGACCACGACCACGGGAAGAATCACCGCCACCACGATGACAAGCACCCGTCGCACTACTATTACCGTCGCCGTCTCGAAGACGCCAAGGCCACCGAGTCCAAGGACTACAAGGACGACCATGGCAAGGACGACTACGACTACGACTACGGCAAGGACCGCAAGGATCGCAAGGACGGCTACGAGCACAAGCGGTACGGCGGTCACGACGACTATGACGATGACTACAAGGGATACGGCTACAAGAGCTACGGCGGAGACTGCGATGACTACGGAAAGGGTCGCCACGACAAGGACGACTACAGCTACGGCAAGGCCTACTACGGCAAGGCCTACTACGGCAAGGACGACTACAGCAACGGCAAGGCCTACTACGGCAAAGACTACTACGGCAAGGACGACTACAGCTACGGCAAGGACGTCTATGGATACGACGGATACAAGTACGGCTCCAGCTACTACCCGGACTACTACTCGTCGTACGGATACAGCTACTACCCGGACTACTACTCGTCCTACGGCGGCGGCGGTGACTTTGGCTACGGCTATGGTTACAACTACCCCGGCAACTTCGGCTATGCTAGCTACGGCTATGGCTACCCTGGTTACCCTGGTTACCCTGGCTACCCTGGCTACGGCTACGGCTATGAGTCCGCGACGACGGACGGTGCTGAGGCTGGCCAGAAGGAGTCCGCCACGGCGCCTGCTACCGCTACGGACGTTGCGTCCAACAAGTCGGCGGAGAAGGAGGACAAGACGCCGCCCAAGGAGAAGGAGACCACCAAGTCCGGCGCCACGGACAAGGCCAAGGGCAAGTAAGTGGAGTGAAGTGAAGTGAAGTGAAGTGGAGAAGGCCGCTCGCTGGCGATGATGAGAAGTAGACGAGGGGCGTTCGTTGGTCATGGAGCAGCTAGCCCACGGAACCTGTAGTTCTGTAGAGTAACATGCGTGTAGTAGCGTCGATAAAAAAACTGGCGGTGGTAGCAATACGACGTCAATGGTTGTCAACTTTCTCGCTGTACTCAGTTTGCTCGTCCGATGCGCTAAACCGTTTCGAACTCGAATGGTGACTTAGTAGAACATGTGGAGACGTTTGGCGTTTGGCACGCCCGATTTGGATGACCCTTACTTAAGTATACCGAACACGCTTCGCTTTGCTACCGGTAGTCTCATTTGACACTCGATAGCCTTTGCAGCCGTACCAAAACGCAGCTTGGATTTTTGTTTTTGTTTTTTGTTTTTGTTTTTCGGGTTGTCGGTGCATGGCCGACCGATGGCGCTGCCTACTGAGAAGCAGCTATCAACACTCTCAACAATGAAACGACCACTAACTTTGGCCTGGATGGACATGATGCTGGCCCTATTGGAGAAGCGCTACGGCCCAGACGCCTCGCCGGCAGTGTACTGGCATTGCTTGTTGGTCGGATAGTGACAGCTTCAGCTAGATTGATGGTACGTCTGCATCGTAGGCGCGAGAGACTAGACTAGTTGACTAGTTACGGAGTGGGCGACGGCTGTGGATGCGGCCTCAAACCCGAGTGCCCCAAGCTCTCTCATCTTCCAATTCGCCTTCTCCGCCACACTCGGCCACCAACCAACCCCAAATCAACCCACCGAATCGCACGTTCATCTCTGACATGCACTCCAAGATCGTTGCCCTGTTCAGCCTGTGTGCCGCTGCCTCCATTCTGCAGGCGGCTGACGCTGGCGCTTCTCCTGTGGGCGTCTCGCCGCGCCGCCACCTCGGCTCCAGGGAGGACTACGGACACCACCCGCGCCACCACGACCATGACCATGACCATGACCACGACCACGACCACGGGAAGAATCACCGCCACCACGATGACAAGCACCCGTCGCACTACTATTACCGTCGCCGTCTCGAAGACGCCAAGGCCACCGAGTCCAAGGACTACAAGGACGACCATGGCAAGGACGACTACGGCTACGGCAAGGACCGCAAGGATCGCAAGGACGGCTACGAGCACAAGCGGTACGGCGGTCACGACGACTATGACGATGACTACAAGGGATACGGCTACAAGAGCTACGGCGGAGACTGCGATGACTACGGAAAGGGTCGCCACGACAAGGACGACTACAGCTACGGCAAGGCCTACTACGGCAAAGACTACTACGGCAAGGACGACTACAGCTACGGCAAGGATGTCTATGGATACGACGGATACAAGTACGGCTCCAGCTACTACCCGGACTACTACTCGTCGTACGGATACAGCTACTACCCGGACTACTACTCGTCCTACGGCGGCGGTGACTTTGGCTACGGCTATGGTTACAACTACCCCGGCAACTTCGGCTATGCTAGCTACGGCTATGGCTACCCTGGTTACCCTGGCTACCCTGGCTACGGCTACGGCTATGAGTCCGCGACGACGGACGGTGCTGAGGCTGGCCAGAAGGAGTCCGCCACGGCGCCTGCTACCGCTACGGACGTTGCGTCCAACAAGTCGGCGGAGAAGGAGGACAAGACGCCGCCCAAGGAGAAGGAGACCACCAAGTCCGGCGCCACGGACAAGGCCAAGGGCAAGTAAGTGGAGTGAAGTGAAGTGAAGTGGAGAAGGCCGCTCGCTGGCGATGATGAAAAGTAGACGAGGGGCGTTCGTTGGTCATGGAGCAGCTAGCCCACGGAACCTGTAGTTCTGTAGAGTAACATGCGTGTAGTAGCGTCGATAAAAAAACTGGCGGTGGTAGCAATACGACGTCAATGGTTGTCAACTTTCTCGCTGTACTCAGTTTGCTCGTCCGATGCGCTAAACCGTTTCGAACTCGAATGGTGACTTAGTAGAACATGTGGAGACGTTTGGCGTTTGGCACGCCCGATTTGGATGACCCTTACTTAAGTATACCGAACACGCTTCGCTTTGCTACCGGTAGTCTCATTTGACACTCGATAGCCTTTGCAGCCGTACCAAAACGCAGCTTGGATTTTTGTTTTTGTTTTTTGTTTTTGTTTTTCGGGTTGTCGGTGCATGGCCGACCGATGGCGCTGCCTGCAGGGAAGCAGCTATCAACAATCTCAATAATGAAACGACCACGAACTTATACATTTTGCTGGCATTGCTGGTTGGCCCGATAGTGATAGCTTCAGCTGGATTGATGGTACGTCTAGAGACTAGTTGACTAGTTACTGAGTGGGTCACGGCGTCGGTGCGCTAAGGGACAAAAAAATACATGCTCTCGCATCCCAATTTACATATTTTTTTTGCCAAAGTTGGAGTAGTTGTGCTGAAGACGATGCCGTCCGTCGAATAGAAGCAGGAAAACGTTTTTGGGAAAGTTGGTAGCGCGCACTACAGTAACACCACCCGGAAGTCTTCCACAACCGATCTTGTTATGCATAAACTATTTTGTTTTGATAAAAGTACTACGAAGTATGTTGGTAAGACTATATACTTTGGCTGTCTTACCGGTTCAGGCGCCCTAGCACCTCTTCCAGCTTTTCGTCAGCTCCGATATCGTTCGTGCTCTCACAAATCGCAACCCAAGCAGTGAAAAGCAATTTGGCCACTTTGTCCTCGCACTTGTGGCCCATCGAGTAGCAAAACGATTCCACGGATGATACGAAGAAAATCACCGAAGGGCCCAAGTGGGGGATCGGATTGTACACGTGCAAGCTTTTCACCGTCAGCAGGCCCTTGTCACCTGTTTTGCCATTCAGCGAAACCTCCCTAGCATACGGGTAGCGCCCGACATTGGAGATATCCGCGTCTGAGTCGAGCGAGTTCCGGATGTTGAGTTTCTCTGCGTCCGCCGGCTTCATCTGAGCGTTCACGAACTCGTCGATGGTAAGCATTACAGCAATCATCTGCATCTTTTTCTCCAAGTTCCCATCGATTTCCTTCTTCGCACGCCGTGCAAGGTCCCAGAACGATGTAGTTGCCATGTTGACCCCTTCATTATCAAGCCACTCCAGATCGGCAAACGATATGAAGGCAGCAACGTGGTCCTCTTGAGCGGCTCGAGGTACGCGTCTGCGCATGTTGTAGTCCAAATCTACCGTCATCTTGAACGGCTGCGCTGCGACGAAGTCGGACTGCGATCTCGCAGCTCGGTAGAAGGCCAACACGATGGCGCTCACCAACGCCCCACCGAAGGTGACGCCCTCGGCTTTGCATCGTGCAAGTGTCTTGTGTATGCAAGCAGGATCGCCCTCCGCGAAAGTTACGGAGGTCGGATTCGCGAGAGGAGGCATCATGAAGTCGCGCTGGTCGCTTCGAGCTCGTAGAACGGGTTTGAACTTTTCTGTAACGCTGCGGTAGATCGGCTTGGCGAACAATGCCACGTCGTAGAACGAAGCACGAAGAGGGAACTCGTGCACTGCAGCCGCCTTCCTTTCTGACAGGAGGGCGGCTTGCTCGAAAATGCAGTTTAGCACTACCATTCCTGAGTACCCGTCCGACATGTAGTGATCCGAGAAAAGCATGAGGCGCGCCTGACCCGTGCAGTTGACCCACACCACCAGGAAGAACGGGAACTGCGTGTACCGATCGATGGCGACGTTGCACTCTTCGTCAGCGTTCTGCTGCCACTTGTTGAAAGCTCCACTGGAACTTTCCGAGCGAGCAAATCGACGCATTCGCAGCAGGTTCTTGCTTCTGATGTCGCCAACGGTTAAAGGAGCTTGGATCTCCGCCAAGAAGTCTTTGCCTTTGACTTGTAGCGCTCGCATACGCGGATGCATGTTGAAAGTTCGCGTCAGTGCCTCGGGAAGGAATTGATCCAACGTCTCAACGTCTCCAGCCACGAGCATCCAGTGCACGATTTTCATGGAGACACCGGCGGCCATTGTGACAGCGCGTTCGAAACCTCGCAGCTCAACTCGCTGTGGGTACTTGGGCTTGGACATGGGGGCTCGTCGGGTGGAATAGTTGCACCATGAGCCTCAATCCACGGAGAACTTCTCTTCACCTGGAAACAAGTACCTATTTTTCATTTCATCAGCTTCCACCAATCCACCTTTGCAGAAGTCTTCGAATCTAGCAAATGTACCCTTCGTGTAGTTTCAACTAGATTGATAGCACATCCGAACCTCGCGAGCGACTACAGATACTACTGAAGTCTGAATGAGAGATGGCATTGGATGTCTGGCAATTTTTCTTGCACATCGTGGTGGTGCGTGCATGTTCCCACAGGAATCGGATTGAACCACACAGCAATATCTGTAACCGCAGCGGCGCGGATATGTATCTTAAATCGTTTCTGTTGTTTTGATGGGACTTAATCGCGACTAGTCCACAGATACACACGCGGTCTATCTATCTACACCGAAGAAATGATCCGGTGCATTATGTTCGTACGTACACCGCCCACTCCGTTTACCCTTGCTCCAGTCCGTCGGACCATTTGCCACCTGTCCCCGTTGGGTCCATGGGATCAATAGCATCGTCACGCTTCCGTCTCTTGCTTCCGTGCTGAGCCTGAGAGTTTGCCTGGGTAGATGCCGCGGGCCGCTTAGTGGTCACAGGGTTTGAACGTGCACCAGTTGACACGACTGGCCGAGACGAAGTCGGTGCAAGGTTGGTACTGGCGTTACTCGATTTTGCATCGGGTCTTGTATTCGTGCTGCTGTCTGTGGGCTTTCCACAGCCTTTCAGGATGCTGTCGAGTTTTGCTTTCGCCTCCAGAGCTTGGACTATTGCAATCACAAGCGAATAAGTTACGTTAGCGTGCGTTGTATTCAACAATGAACTCGTCAACAAGAGAAGATCCGGTACTAACCTAACGATACACTCCGCGCTACCGGTCGAGTCCACGTCGTCTCATTTGTCTTTCGATTCCAGTAGTAAACATCCCCACTAGCTGCGTCAGGTACTTCTTCCCATCCACTACAGCGAAGCGCAAACAATCACGCTACCGTCAATTTCCAAATCATCGCAAAAAACCGCTGGGGTGTCAGAACTCTATCCTCCACGTACTCGGCTAGTTGGTCTCCAGTCGTCTTGGCACCAGCGCTCTTCTCCGTCGTTTCCTTCATTAAGCATCAAACACGGTCATCTCTCTGCCGTCATCCACTGTAAGATAGATCGGAAGTCTCGCTCACCTGCACTGCCGAGCTTCCAGGTCGCTCCCACACCGTCTCATTGGTTGTCTGCAGCAGAAAGCATCATCAATCGTCTCGAACAACTAGCACCTCTGTATAGCCCTAGCTATTGTTGCCCACCTCGTTCCAATAGTACCGGTCTCCAGACGCCGGGTCCACCACTTCCTGCCACCCTGGAGGGAGGGCGTTGCGTTCTGTCGAGTGGAAGTCCAGCCTGTAGCTCTCCGTCTTCTGCTCGATCTGCTGCGTCTTCTGCAGCTCCTGAGCGCGCCTCAAAGCCACTGCATGCAGCGTGTTGTCCCTCACGCGAGGGTCGAGCTTGTCGGCTGCCGACTGCTCCTGCGGCTGCGCGCCTAGCACGCGACGCTGCGCCACTGCGGAGGTGGCGTTGGCTGTCTGCTTCTGCCTCAGTTGCTGCTGCTGCGCCAGTTCGCGCTGGCTCGGGCCGCTACCGGTGCTCTGGAGATGCTTGAGCGCTTCGGCACGAGCCTTCTGGGCGGCCAGCTCCTTCTTGAGCCGCTCCGCAGCGACGGCAGACTTTGGCGGCATTGATGCCGTTCGGGTCGGGCGTGTTGGGCGTGTTAATTGTCAGACTGGTTCCGTTTAAATAAATGGTCTACTTAATCGAGGGTTTGCTCCCGCTTAAGTCAACACCGTTAAAATATTCGTACTAACGTAAGCGGGAGCCTCCCGATTAAGTAAATGTGCTCTTAAATTGTCGGTCGAAAACTTTGAAGTTTATTTTAAACACCGTGTCAGAAAGACTGCGCCTGTTTGTTTACAACAAGACCATACAAAGCTGCAAGCTTTCCGACATACCACTTAATATGGGACACGAAGTTTTGGACCGACAGTTAAAGAGCATTCCGACAGTTTATTTTGGACGACAGTTCAAGATTATTCCGACAGTTTAAGATAAAACGGTACATCGCAACTTAAGCGGGAGGCTATGAACTTAATCGGGTAGTTTTCGCGCAGAAAACTTCAAGCAAGAAGCTCGTCATGGAGAAGACCCAAGAGCGCACCTGGATAGGAACGAGTTTGATCTCTACACGGACCACAAGGCGCTCACATGGGTGTTTAGTGAAGGAAACCGTACCAGCAATGCCAAGCTGGCACGCTGGGCGATGGAACTGTCTCAATTGCGATTCAAGGTGTACCATAAGCCGGGGACGGCCATGGGGCACGTCGACGGATTATCGAGGCTGCACGCGAGGCAGCAGGGCAAGGGCAAGGCGAAACGCGGTGCCAACAACCCGACCACCGAGCAAGTGCTGAAGTGCATGCAGGACTTGGGCAGCTCGGCGCTGCGAACCGGGGCGCTGAGCAAGGAAGACTGCTACGCGGTCGGCATGAAGTTTGTCTGCGATCCCCGTGTCGTCAAGGACCGCTTCGACAAGCGAGGCTTGCCGCGCAAGAAGAGGGGCCGTCCGTGCCCCAACATCAGCGAACTAGCGGACAAGTACACCGAGGCTGCGTTCTCGGAGATCGCTCACATGGTGGGCATGAAACCCCGCACGTACCGCCGATACCACGGCGAGGTCAAGCTGGAGCTGGCGCGACGTGCCCGTCAAAGGCCAATGGGGACGCACGGTCCGCTACTCAAGCTTCTGATGCAGCTTAGTGATAGCACGACCGACTCCATGTTTGTCTCGGCTTTCTGCTTCAGCCACATGGAGGTGGTCGCCTAGGACGAGCGCAACGTTCGAGTTGTTATATATGCGGGTGTGTTTCACGACTTCGACTCAAGATGCATGGTTTCCGGAGGACGCAAGCCGAACGATCGACGAACTGGCATCGTGCCGGTGTGTCAACGGAGTCCTGCCCTGCAAAGCATCGGACACTGGGCCAAGCAGTGTTTATTTGAGCTCGCCGCATCACGGCAATCGGACGGTAATGCCACGATGCAATCGGGCCTCGTGGCTCCGAAAATACCGTTGCCTCCCTGAAAATACTCCTCGTCTTGGCTCTCGTTGGTTAAGAGTTATTTTGAGGCTCTCATGCTGTAAGCCCGAAAACCTCACCGTCGCATCGCCGCTAACATGTTGCGATGACTATTGCTCCTCATTCTCCTTCCGGAGTCCAAGACTGCAGTTGTGCTGCCTGTGGGTGGGCCGCTCGCTTTATTTCGACGCAAGGAACTAGCAACTGATACGCCATGCTCAGAAGGTAGACTTGAAGCGTTCTGTGCGCGAATACGCAGTCAACAATGATCTCATAGCACAACTCTCATTGCAGCCCCGAGCACCACGCGGACGATGACTCGTGCCCTGATCGGGTAACTAATCAAAGTCAGGAACTTCGCCCAACATCGTTGCCTGCCCCACTTTCAGGCGCTGAGGTACGTACATTTGTGTATCAAAAGTCGACTACGGTTGCCCACAAGCCTAACGAGAAGCGGGTTCTGTAGGCTACCCAGGCGCTCCTGAAAGCGAAAATCCGTGAAATTCAGTCGAGCCCCGTACTGACACCGAAGCAAAAAGCCGAATCGGTGCAGAACCTCATGATGAAGGACTGGAACGACGCGAAATCCAAGGCGGGCACTGCAAAAACGGAATCCGATTCCGAAGCCGACCGCAAGGAAAAATCCTACTTTGTACGTCGTCATTTGCTTTGTGTCGAGGTAATTTGAACTCTCGTTTAACGATATGTGTCCGATGCTTTCAGGATGAAGCAAAAACGATCTTGGGGTGCAGCCATTACCAGTGCGTTGGTGGTTGGTTTGTCGTGAACTTGCAGGCGGTGTAGTTGACGTGGCCATTGTTGATCATGGCAGGCGGAAGTGCAAGCTACTGAGTAAATGCTGCGGCAAGTGGTATTCATGCCGCTTTTGTCACGGTAAGCTGCTGGAGTATACTTGCACTTGCCAAAGTGGCAGCTTGCTAAACTCTTCATTTTTGTAGATGACAACGAGGATCACCCTTTTGACCGATATGCCACCGAGTCAGTGTCGTGTTTGAAGTGCGACACGATTCAGGTACTGTTTGTTATACATCCCTGATCAGCGGCCTACCAAATACTGACAACGAAATCTTTCTTGCCTCGCTGTAGCCGATCGGGCAAACCTGCTCTAACGAGGACTGCAAATGCGAGTTCGGGCGCTACTACTGCGAGGTGTGCAAGTTCATCGACGACGACAACAGCAAAGACATTTACCATTGCGACAAGTGCAAAATCTGCCGCATCGGCAAGGGCCTGGACATCGACTACTTCCACTGCGACCGGTGCAATGCCTGCATGAGCATCAGTCTGAAGAAGCACAAGTGCGTGGAGAGGTCGCTCGAGTCAGATTGCCCGATCTGTCACGCGTACATGTTCACCTCGACCACGCCGGTCATGTTCCTGCCGTGCGGCCATTGCATGCATGTGTCCTGCTATGAAGAGTACACGCTGGTACGTCGGCCTTATTGCACGCTGCTGCTGTATCAAGCTGCTAACAATTGTCATTGGTGTAGACAAATTACATTTGCCCATTGTGCTCCAAGTCTCTGGGCGACATGGAACTCTATTTCGCCAGCATCGACGAGCTGCTAGAGCGTGAGCGTATGCCCGCCGAGTACCAAGACTACAAGTCGCTAATCTACTGCAGCGACTGTGAACGCAAGTCCACGACCAAGTTCCACTTCGTCTATCACAAGGTGCGGCTATTGATGCTGTTAGCCAAGTTGGAGCTGGAAAGCTAACCTCTTGATCTCTGCTTTGAACATTCCAGTGCCAGTACGAGGACTGCATGTCGTACAACACCAAGCTGCTGCGGCAGTTCAAAGACCCTGACGGGCAGGTCCCCTGCGGCCCCGTCGGCCAAACGCACACACACTAGCCCCACATAGGCAGGAAAAATACTCGCCATACTAAGGATAACCGCTGAAGGAAGCTCTTATGAATCCACTTTGAGCTCTTTGAGGCCGACAACCTCGTGACCATGTTTGGGCATCTACTGCGTATTACTAGTACTAGTAGTATTATTTTGTTTGTGGTATGTACGACCCAGTTCTTGAGGAGTTTGACGAATGGAGATGTCGCCGTCCTCTACACACATAGAGTCGCTGGGATACACTCTAGCGCCCGTGGGGGTGACACGACATGCCTCGGCTCTTCAATGCGGCGAGACACTTTTCAGCGCCCCGAGCAGAGAAGACCCTTGCACGCGAGCCCTCATTAAGCCCACAGCGCAGCAACAACATACATTTGGCAACACCCTAGTGACCGCTTCGTGGTCAAATGGCAGAGTGGCAGGCGCGTGGGAGTCCACAGAGTGAACCGGCTTCTCTCATCCATTCACTCTTTTCCAATATTGACCAATCATGTATTGGTAACTGAGAATTTCCTGGCCAATAAGGGATGTTTGTACCATTCGCTTCAACTTGAGATGGCTACATTTTGTTGCAGCGCAGCTTTAGAAAGCGGCCGGCATCGGGCGCTTGTTCCTGTAGCACCATAGCACGAACTGCCCGATCTTGGAGCTGCGGAGCTTCTCGAACCGCGCACGGAAGACCGGATCTTGGATCGAGTCCATGGAAATGTACGGGGCGATGAACTCGTGCTCTGGGGGCAGGACAAGCAGAGCTACATGACAATATCTGCGGAGGAAAAGTAACGCCAGCGAGGAAGCGCGAGCCGATAGGACCATCGCCGAGCTTCTCTTCGGCCTCAGCAAGAATGGCTTCGATCCGAAGCCATGAGCGCTCAGCGGACGCGGCATTGTCGTAGCACGACAAGCCTCAATGCAGGGTACAACACCCGCGCCATGGAACGCTGCACCAAGCTGTCGATGGGGTCCGCCTGTTGTCAAATTCGCCACCCTGATCCGAGTGGATTTCTTCCACACGCCAATTCCGTTCGCGATATTTGACGTGCAGGCGATTAACAAGTGCCGCAATGTGGTTCTTCGCTTCACTCTTCTGCCTTAGCAGGAAGAGCCATTTGTATCGGCTGAACTCATCGACCACAAGTAAGAAGGAGGTACACCCATCGAGTGTGGGCTCGTTCACACTGCAGACGTCCACTTGAAGGCGTTGAAGCGGTCGTTGTGCGTGCTGTCGTCGCTCAGGATATGTCATCCGCACCTTTCTCCCGTGCATACAGGGAAGACACGTTGGCGCAGCCTCCGCTCCGCTTGTGCTGATCTGTAGCCCTCTTACAC